CTTTGCCGAAGGCCCGGAAACAAACAAAATTGTCAATCTCTCCCTGTGTACAAAACCTTGCGACAACACCATGGCTGCTACTGCTTCGAGCTATTTCGGGCTTCTGGGTTTTGGGGTCTGAGGTTTATTTAAAGTTTCTAATGCTTGGGGCTGGTTGCCGAGGGGCGGAAATATGTGTAATCGGATCCTCTTCTAGCCTCTGTACGCCTGTAAGGTTCGAAACATTCAGGCCCCTATTTTCGAACTTCTTGACCTAGAGTACCTACCTGTGACCCCAAACCCTACAAAAATAGTAGGTTATGACCCTTTAATTAGAGGGAAGAGCCCTTAAAACGGTAGGTCTTTGGATCCCCACCTAGAGCCCCTGTATAACGTGCCGAGACCAACTCTGCGCCTCGCACAGCTCTTTGCTTCGAGGCGTAGCAGCGAAACTCAGACACAACATCAATTTTGGCGACGTCCTCCAGGAAAAATCCTGTTCAGGCTCGAAGGTACATGTCTGCGCAAGTAGAACGGCGTCGTCTCCCCTTGAAGTCCTTTACAGTCTATGGCTACACCACCAGATCCCCCACACAAGACGTCAAATCAGAGCTTTCGGGTTCTCAAAGGTGCGGCAACTTTCGGTGTCTGCGGGATGCTGCTCGAGGTCGCAGCTGCAGCTTCTGCCTTTGGGGTTTAGGGTTTACCTAGACCCCAAAGACACTACCTTTTTAAGAATAGAAAGAAATCATAATAAGGAGCCCTAAAAAGGTAGGTTCTTTAGGGTCCAGGTAGGGTATACGCTTGTGACTTCTGCATCCCTCCCGAAGCGCAAGCTCCGAGCTTGGCTACGACAAGTCTGGAAGCCAAAAACGCACCCTACACCCTACCTGGACCCTGAAGAACCTACCTTGTTAGGGCCTAAACCCGACTATAAGCCCCAGTCCTGCTAAACAACCGGAAGATAATAAACCCGACTATAAGCCCCAGTCCTGCTAAAACAACCGGAAGATAAGATAGAAACCTTAATAATTAGAATAGGGGCGGGGGGGGGGGGGGGGGTTATTATGCTGCAATCATAATAGGGAACCCCCCGCAAAAGTGTTGTCAAGTATTTAGGGCCATTTAGGGCCCCTACCCTAAGAGTCCATGTACCCAAATAGCATGTACTTTGGCCTTAAAGTATTCCTTATATAGGTTCTTTGGGGCCAAAGGAGCCCCCAAAATAATCTTGCTAATTATTTAGGGCCGTATATTAGATCCTCTCAACAAGGTCGCTTTTAAGAGAGCCATAAGTAGGGTTAAGAAGGGTCCCTTTAATGGTTGTCCCTAGTACTACCTAGGAGAACTCACACTGTAGCCGTAAGAAACTCTTAGGGCAGCTTCATATGGCTTCTCAACATGTAGCACGACAAACTGGTGGGTTTTCGGGCTACAGGCAGGGCTAAGGTCGTGACATAGACGAGGCTACTTCTGAACTTCTTGCAGAGTTTGATAGGGTTGGAAAGGAGTTTTGAAGGGATCTTTTGTATAAACTATCGCTACATTGCTAAATCAAGATCTCTATCTAAATACCACAAAGAGCACATGAGACTTCCGAAATTAACAAAACCGGCGGCATTGAGGGATAAACTCTACAGGCCCTAGACCCATAAACCCTATAACACCCCAAAAGCCCTAAACCCCAAACCCTAAACCCTAAACCCTAAACCCTAAACCCCAAACCCTTAACCCTAAACCCCAAGCCCGAAAAGTCCCATCACCCCTGCACCCTGAAGCCGAACTCGTTTACCAACCCATGTCCTCGACAGAAGGTTCTTCAATCCTGTCGAAGGCTTGGTTCTTTATTTTGGGGACAAGATTTATGAACGGAAACTACAGGTGGGGGGTTTAGGGTATATAGGGCTTCTAGAAGGCTTCTATAAGGTATGTAGACCTTCTATACGGCTCCTATAACGGTAACTACCCACCTGAAATGTCCTAGAACTTAGAAGGATCTTAGTTAACTTTCGGGTTTGGGGTTCCTGAAGTTCTTCATGGAGCGCCTGGGGCTTGATAGTTAGGGTTTCGGTGTGTAGGGTTTGGGAATTAAGGCTTCGGCTTCGGAAGGGGCAACTTCAGGGTTTAGGGTTTAGGGTCTAAGTTTGGTATAGGGGTCTTGGTGTGTACGGTTTGGTGTCTAATGTAGAAGCCTACATAGTTAGAATAGGGTTTTGCGGTATATTAGACTCTAACCATAATAAGGAACCCCCAAAATAGTATTGGTAATTATTTGGGCTCCTATATTGCATGGTGTGTAGCTTCGGGTCCGAAGTTTATGGCTTGTTTCGGGGCTACGCTTGGGAACATCGTCTTTCTGGCCTCCAGGACGTGCGCACGCACCGGCATGGCTTTTGGAGGAGTTTAGGGTTTAAGCTTTAGGGTTGGGTCATCAGGCTTGAAAGAGATTCGGCAATTGCACCGGATCGGGCACGCCCGGAGGGCCTCTTCTTGTCAGCAACATAATGTGATACTATGTTAACAACGCTACGACTGATAGAACAACCCTGAACCCTACACCTCACCTGTAGCCAACAACACCCACTTCCTGAAGGGTCATGTTTTAAGGGTTTCATAGTACGGAGCATCAAAATCCAGGTCATTCAGGTTGCAGGTAAGCCCTTCCGATCTAGTGACAATAATGCAGAGCCCTGACAATTACCATTCTTTTTCTAGGGCCTTAGTATTGGGATCCTTACTGGAATCCTGATGAAGCGAAGGCGGCGCATGAATCAGGGGCCTTTGTTATTCCTCAGGGTTCCTTCTTATACTGACAAAAAACATTATATACTACACTGTGGATAGCAATCCTTAAAGTTTCTTCTGAGCCTTGTAACATACTACAGCATACTATAACTCGACATACCCCTAAAATCTACACATTAAGCCGTCTGTTCCATGCCTCACCGCCAAGGACAATGCCTGGGAAGCGTCTCGGCATCGAAATGGTTCAAGACTTTGGGGCTAGGGTGGCCAGGGTTTAGGGTTTAGGGGCGTGCGCTTTGGGTGTATAGGGTTTGGGGTTTAGGATTTTGGTTTTAAGGTTTTTGCTTTAGTGATTAAAGTTAACTGTTGGCTGAATTGCAACGACCATGCGACTCAGACTCAGAAGAATACAATCGTTGCAAGACCCTGACATGCTCTTGACCGTAAGCACCGAAAAACCTTTTTTACCCAATCCTAAACCCATTCCTAAATCCTGAACCCTCAACTCTAAACCCTAAACCCTAAACCCTTGAAATCACAGTGGGGGCCGGACCATGCTTAGCACAGAACTCGACGATCCTTTCTCGAAGCTCCTTTTCCGGAACGAGGTCCTGCCACGGTTTTACGGCTTAGGGCTTCTTAAAGCCTAAACCCATAATTAATGTAAAGGGCCAAAAAATTAGAATAGGGTTTTGGCGGGTTCCTTATTATAGTCATAGTATAAAGGGCCCCAGAACCCCTTTCTAACTATTAAGGCCCCTTTTTAAGTCTCGGGCGATTGTAGGCCTCGGAGTATTGCTTCAGAGTTGCGGCTTCGCGGTTCAGGGTGTAGGATTCAGATTCTTCAGTTTGGGCTGGGGCGTTTAGAGGGTTTAGGGTTTAGCGGTTTAGGGTTTACGGTTCAGGGTTTAGGGGTTTAGGGTTTAGGGTTTACGGTTCAGGGTTTAGGGGTTCAGGGTTTAGGGTTTCTGGGCTTGTGATCTCTGCGCCCACGTCTCCATACTCCAGGCCCCGACCCTGTGAACTCGAATGCAGACCAGGGATTTAGGGGCCTGAATAATTACCTATACTATTTTGTGGGTTCCTTATTGTAATTATAGTATAATGGGCCCCAAAACTTTATTCTAATTAATGCGGCCCCTACATTACTCCCCTTGTCTGCGAAGGCCCGAATCTCAAGATCCCATTATCACCCTTTTGCAAAAGGGGGAGGGGTGTAGAAATCAGGAGTCTACGTTAAGCTCCACAGCTTGATCGGTAGAAGATCAACCTACCCACCTAACCTCTAGACCCTATTAAACCCTAAACCCTCAATCCTAAACCCTAATATCTAAAACCCTCAATCCTAAACCCTAATATCCAAAACCCTCAATCCTAAACCCTAATATCTTAAACCCTCAATCCTAAACCCTAATATCTTAAACCCTCAATCCTAAACCCTAATATCTTAAACCCTCAATCCTAGACCCTAATATCTTAAACCCTCAATCCTAAACCCTCATATCTTAACGACACCATCAGCCCTGGCCTTTAAAGGCTGCTACTCTTTCAGGGCAGAGGGTTGGGATGTGGGGTGGGGTGGAGTGGGGTTTAGGGTTTAGGGTTAAGGGTTTAGGGTTTAGGGTTTAGGGTTTAGGGTTTAGGGTTCAGGGTTCAGGGTTTAGGGTTTAGGGTTTAGGGTTTAGGGTGTGGGGTGGTGTGGGGTGGGGGCGAAGCCGGGGCCGCAGAGTCTTCTTCCTCTGCTTCTATTGAACAGGTGCTTATCTAGGATATGGCTCCTCGAAATTCACAGGTAAGTACTATGCCCTAGACCCTGAACCCATAAGTAATGTATTTGTCTAGTTATGTTGGTGTGGTCTACTTGGAGCCGCCGGTTACAGTAGGGTTTTGTGGAGTTGTGTTCGGGCCCATCAACTTCTTTCTACGTCGCCCGGGCCTGCTAAACCCTAAACCCTAAACCCTAAATCCGTTCCACTCGATAGGAAAAGCGGATATCAGGGTCGGAATGATGAATCATCCCTGGTAGTTAGTTTTTGGAGATTCGCCGGCGGATCCAACAAAACCAGAATCCAGAAGGGCCACCAGAAGAAGCATGTCCTGAGTTACAACACACTTTACGGGACAGGGAGGCGGCGGTGTTGGGCTTAGGGCATCTAAAACTCAAGGGATTCGGGGTCAGAACCTGGGCGTTATGGGTGTTCTAGGCCTTTGGAGTTTACGGCTTGGTGCTTGAAGACCCACTTGTCCCGACTTAGACAGCTTTTCTCCAATCGAGCTCAGTCGAAGAGGGAGTAGAGGTACTCTTGAAATGATTTAGACTCGCCGCCACCCCAGGTCACGACGGAACCGTCGCGAAGGATGGCGGCAAATCCTCTGCTAGTAGACTGGACGTGCACGACATCACGAAGCTGCTCCTGCACCGAGCTGCTGTCTCCACCTTCTTCTGCGACACCCCATGTGACCACCGAGCCGTCGGAGCAGATCGCAGCAAATGCACTCCTGGTAGACTGGATGTGACTGACATGATGCAGCTCTGCGTCGCTGCATCCTCCAAACTGTCTGGCTCCCCAGGTCACGACGGATCCGTCCGAGCGGAGGGCGGCGAAAGCAAAGTCAGTCGACTGGATTTTCTGCACATCTCGCAGTTCTGGCTGCACTGCGCTGCTGTCGCCGCCATACGCAGCTGAACCCCAAGTCACAACAGATCCGTCATGGCGAATAGCAGCAAAAGCACCGTGACTAGACTGGATTTCCTCTCAGCTGTTCAGGAAGCCTCTGGAAACAGTACATACCTCTTGGGGGATTACTTATATCATAATAAGAACCTGGAAACAGAAAAGTTAACATGTACACCACCTATAGTCTTAATTGTAGCTCCTTCTTTGGGTTACCTTCTAGGATCCTTTATATATGAAATTGGTTAAACCAAACTAAAGGAAGTACAAATAGAAACTACAGTCCTTCACGTGCTGCAAGTGATCTTCGACTGCCGCGCTGTCACCTCCGAAGTCCCGCCATCCCCAGCTCACCACGCTGCCATCGGAGCGGAGTGCGGCAAACGCGCCAGAATAGCTGGCCTGGATGAGGCCCGGGGTTGGTTTACCTTATACCCGAATAACCTACCTTTTTAGGGACTTATATAAACAAATCATAATATGGAGCCCTAAAAAGGTAGGTTCTTTAGGGTCCAGGTAGGGCTTAGGATCCATAGGGTTTATTGGCGGGTGTAGGGTTTAGGGTGTAGGGCTTCGGGGCTTAGGATAGCTGCAGAGTAGGTGGCCTGGATGTGCTGCACGTTCGTTAAGCGTTCCCGCTCCTTGCTGCAGTCGCCACCATTCTGGGCATGGCCCCAAGTTACCACCTCGGCGCCCTTATGTTATTGAACAAGAACTCAGCCCACCACCTTTTGGTCGCTGCCTGGAGAAGCTAGAAGAGCATTGAGGTACCCTAAACCCTAAACCCTGAACCCTAAACCCTAAACCCTAAACCCCTAAACCCTAAACCCTAAACCCTAAACCCTAAACCCTAGACCCTGAACCCTAAGGTTACGACGGAGCCATCGCGGAGAAGAGCTGCAAAAGCCGCAGAAGTTGCCTGGATCTTCTCGACACCTCTCAATCCTCTCAGCTCTTCTAGCTCATCATCTGGATCCAGAGTACCTTCAAAAATAAGGAAGGGTTTAGGGATTAGGGTTTAGGGTTTAGGGTTTAGGGTTTAGGGTTTAGGGTTTAGGGTATCCAGAGTACCTTCAAAAATAAGAAACAAACACGACAGGACGGGTTCAAAGTTCAAACAGCAAACGGGTATTGCGAGTTTAACATACCGCGAGTACAGCGGGCCTACAAAGGGCTAACTCATGACACAGGCCTCGATGCTGCGCGCTTGCTTTCGGGTCGGCTTCATTCGGGTTTAGGGTTTAGGGTTTAGGGTTTGGGGTTTAGGGAAGCCCCCAGGTTTCAGGGCCCTCAAATCCTACACCCCAAGCCCCTAAACTTTTGGTATACCCTCAACCCCAAGCGCTGAACCCCAAGCCCTAAACGCTAAACCTAAACCTTACACCCTTAAGCCCCCCCTAAACCCTAAACCCTACACCCTAAAACCCTGTTCTTAAACCTTAGGCTTCCTCAGAGTTTAGCAACTTCGTTCGGGGATTCTCGCCCATCGGAACAGCCTCCCCAGCACACCACGCTTCCATCATCACAGACTGCAGCGAAGGAGTCTGTGTTTGCCTGGAGCTCCAAAACGCAAAAGGACGGGCAGATTCTCATCAACTTTCGATCCCGAAGTGGGTACTGTTGCTGGACTTCGAGCCTTGCGGCAAGGAATTACATACCTGTACATATATATATATATATACACATACACATATATATATATATATATATACAGAGATGAAAGACAGATAGATAGATAGATAGATAGATAGATAGATAGATAGGTAGATAGTTAGGTAGAATGACAAATAGATAGATAGATCGATAGATAGAGAGATAGGTCGACAGATAGATAGATAGATAGATAGATAGATAGATAGAGAGAGAGAGAGAGAAAGATATGTACATACACATAGAACATTTTACATCTAGGATTGAGACCCCGATTCGGTACTTTTGAGGTGCAGAGATGTATCTGGTAGACTTTGTGCGATAGGGTTTGCCTGCAGCTGCTGCACGTTGCGCAGTTGCTGCTGAACTTGGCGGCTGTCACCACCGGAGAATGGGTTGCCCCATGATACCTGAGGTTTCGGGCGTAGGGGTTCCATGATACATAAGCTTTAGGGGTTTAGGGGTTTTAGGGCGTAGCGGGGGTTCCACGATACATTAGGGGTTTAGGGGTTTTAGGGCGTAGGGGTTTAGGGGTTTGAGAGATCAAAGGTTTGGGCGCTTTGGGTTGAGGGGTTCAAGGCTTAAAGGGTTTGTCGGGCTCCCACCAATCCGAAAACGAAGTCTAAGACAAAGCTTCGTCCCAAAACACAGAACGAACAAACATGATACTACTAAGCCGTAAAGCTAAACAAACCTAACCAGAGACCACTGAGGGAGCTAGGCACCACGGAGCCATCAGTGCAGATTGCCGCAAATGCGAGGCTGGTCGACTGGATCTCTTTTGCTGTGAACTCGCCCAGAAGCTGCTCCACATCTCCGAGACTTTTACCTGTAAGCCCAGACGCTGAAACAAGGTATAGGAGATGACAGCTTCAATAGGGGTTAGTGCAGACAGGGCCGAGGGCTTGAGGAGCTTAAGGCTTATGGCCCTTGACTGAAGGGTAAAACCATTTAGGGAGGGCTTAGGGTTTCGGCTTTGCAGGCTAGGGTGTAGTGCTCGGGGTTTACGGTTAAGTAAAGGGTCATGACCCTTACGATTGCAAACCGCTACGATAGTAAAGTTGAAGCCACAGGTACGTCCCCAGGTCACCACAGTGCCGTCTTCTCGAATGGCTGCGAAAGAGTGGAGGGTACTTTGGATCTTCACCACAGTCCTTGGCTGACTTCATGTGGGGCTCCAAACAGCCAAAAGGACGTAAAACCCTAAATTACTAAACAGCCCAGGGTAGGCACTAAAGGTATATTATATACTGCCTAAACCCTAACACCCTAAATAGCCCAAACTAGGTACTGTAGGTAAAGGCTGTACCTAGACCTTAAACCCTAAACCCTATAAGCCCTAAACCTGAACCCTGAACCCTGAACCCTAAAGCCTATACCCCCTAGACCCTGAACCCTGGACCCTAGCCCTAAAGCAAAACCCAAAAGTCTAATCCCCAAACCCCTAATCCCCAAACCCCTAAACCCCTAAACCCTAAACCCTAATCCCCAAACCCCCAAACCCCTAAACCCTAAACCCTAATCCCCAAACCCCTAAAACCCTAAACCCTAAACCCAAAAGTCAAAACCCTAATCCCTAAACCCTAAACCCTAAACCCTAAACCCTAATCCCCAAACCCCTAAACCCCTAAAACCCCAAACCCAAAAGTCAAGATTCTGCAGCGACTCCTGCACGAGGCTGCAGTCGCCTCCATACCTCACTGGCCCAAAACCCAAGGAAATAAAAGTTGAAACTTTCAGAATCCCCTAAACCCTAAACCCTAAACCCTAAACCCTAAACCCTACCTTATAAGAACCCCAAAAGTTGAAAAGTTGAGTTTACAGCCAATAAGATACTTCTCGGGCCCCAGAGAGGTGACGCAGCCATCGCCTTTCTTTCCCAAGGGGCCCTAGGGGTTTAGGGTTTAGGGGTTTAGGGTTTAGGGTTTAGGGTTTAGGGTTTAGGGTTTAGGTGTTTAGGGGTTTAGGGTTTAGGGTTTAGGGTTTAGGGTTGAAGATTACCTATAGTCTCCATTGTAGTTCCTTTTTGGGGATGCCTTCTAAAATCCTTAATATATAATTAGTTAAGCCACAAACAGGAACTACAATGGAGACTACAGGTATATAGTGGAGTGTAAGGTATCTATATTAGTAGTTACTAGTATATAGTAGAATGTAGGGTTTCATATTAGAAGTTACTATTATATAGTAGAATGTAGGGTTTTAGAGATTTGTAATGCCTACTATTGTAAAGTAGAATGTAGGGTGTTTATATTAGTAATGACTACTATTGCACAGTAGAATGTAGTGTTTTTTTTAATTTTTGTAGTGACTAGATTTATATAGTAGAATGTAGGGTTTTACCTTAGTAGTTACTACTAGTATATAGTAGAATGCAGGGTTTCTATATTAGTAATTACTATTATTATATAGTAGAATGTAGGGTTTCCATATTTATAATTAGGGACGCATCCCCCCATATCGGTACATAGGACCCTTTGGGATTGGGTTTGCATGGGTCCCGGGTTCTTCGCTTGGGAGTTTGATGGCAGCGTCGGGATGGGGTCTGCTTAAGTATGAGGTCTTGGGGAGTGAGAGTTCATGGAGTCTGTGTGTGTAAGGTTCGGGCTTTGGAGTTCGGGGTTTATGGGTTTAGGGTTTGGGGTTCGGGTTTATGGGTTCATGGGTTCATGGGTTTGGGGTATGTGGGTTTATGGGTTTAGGGTTTGGGGTTCGGGTTTATGGGTTTACGGGTTTATGGATTTAGGGTTTGGGGTTTGGGGTGCGGGGTATGTGGGTTTATGGGTTTAGGGTTTGGGGTTTGGGGTTCGGGTTTCTGGGTTTATGGGTTTATGGGTTTAGGGTTTAGGGTTTGGTGTTCGGGGTTTATGGGTTTAGGATCTGGGGTTTATGGATATGATGTAAAACCAAGCCCTATAAGCCACAAAGCTCTACAATGTAAGGTCTGCCTGTTACCTGTGACCCCAAACCCTACAACATAGTAGGTTATGACCCCTTAAAAAAAAAGAGGGTCGAACCCTTAAAACAGTAGGTTTTCGGATCCCCAGGTACATTTGAGGTTTTGGAGGTTTAGAGCTTATACTGCCACCGTAAGAAGGCGGTACAGGTGAAACGTGAAAGCTTGCGGAACCCACAGGTCCCCAAATGGGGCTTAGGGTTTAGGGGGTTTGGGGTTTAGGGGCTT